TTGGTCCAGAGTTTTCAGTGTTTTCATTGGAATTTTTATTTTATTTTTTTCTTACACAAAAACAATTCGTGGCGGATGAAGATTAAGTAAATGTTGTTGGATGCTGGTTGCTGGAGTCGCCGCTGGCGCTGGCCTAAACAACTTCCGTGTGACTTCCGCAAAGGCAGCGTTTGCCAGGCCAGCCAGCCTGCAGCTTCTTTTCTGTGGTAGAAGCTTCTTCTTCTATTGCGTCGTCTTCGTCTTCTTCTTCTTCATCATCTTGCGACAGCCACCGACTTCCGCTCGAAAAAACAATTTCCAATTTTAATTGAATTTTCGTGTAAACAGCGTGAGGTGACCAAACACAACTTCCGCTTTGAAACGCCTGTCCCCTGCCCCTACCGCTACCCTACCCCTAGACCTATCTGTATCTCAGTATGTGTATCTGTATCTGGCCACATGTGCTAGCGACGCCAGATTGCATAATTCTTGCGCATGGGGAAAATGTTGGAAACAAAAAATACAACACAACGAGAAAAAGGAAATGTATAGAAAAATCATTAACGCAGACAAAAGATAACAGTAGAGATGCATTGGAACAGAAGGTTGCTGATGTCTGTTGTTGCTTGTTGCATTAGCAAAACTACCTGCCACAGCAGCAGCAGCATCAACAGCAGCAGCAACAGCAGCACTTGTGCCAAGCGGCTGCCACTGCTCTGCTAACGGTCCCAAGATCAGCCAGCGTCTCGACGGCGCATGTGCAGCAGCAGGCGGCGGCTGATCATCCACCATACACTCAGCGAAACAAATGTGCCCCACAATAAAGTAGTTCGTCATCATATTTGGTCTTCAGCAATATTTTTGACTTTTTCTTGCTTGTAATCAACAAAAAGTACCCTATTTAATTTAATGAATTGTATGTCAGAGGGTGTTTTTTTTAAGTGTACGTCGTCGTCGTCTGTCGTTCGTGTGCGTCGCGTCTTTTGTGCGTCAACGCCCTCATGGGAACCAAACACCGATCCCGGCCGGCCCAGCATTTCTTTAGACATCTCTTCCGGCATTCGAGAAATTTATGTCACTGATTGGCAACACACACACACACACACTTATGTGTAAGCAGGTCGATCCTTTTGTGGCAAGGTCCTTTTGTTGGGATTTTGCGCACGTCATGTCAATGCCGCTGTGCGTTATTGATAGCGGCAGGTGCAGTCATGCCGTTGCCTACAGTCTTGCCTGCCTAAGAGGAGCTCCATAAGCTCAAATTACGTTGCCGCTAAGCGACAATCACAGGCTTCCCCCAAGCCAACTGGCTAATGAGTGGCAGAGCCCGAAACACAAGAGCCAAAGCGATGCAGTGGCATGCCAGCTATGCAACTAACTAATCCCCGACTGGCCCCGCTCGAACTGCTCTTGCCATGCCACATAAAACATGTAGGAATGTGCTAGGTTCGAGTGTCAGACCAGCAGATACCCCTTAACCTAATCAGAAGTAAGATCTGTCAGATCATAGATGCTGCTGCCAGAATAAGCCTTGTATATAAATTTTATAGTAGCTTTGATTTCTCACACCTTCTCAGACTACCCCATTTATAGTCATTCTATGGTTACAAGGTATATAAAATATTGTATAAGTCATTGTCATCTTGAGGCAGCGCTTCCGGTGCGCAACTCTGCGAGGCGCAGAATTCCAAGCATGCCCCCAGCCACATGAAGCATGACAAGCAGCTAATGTTCATCTTCTGATTCTGCTTCTTCTTATTCTATTACTACTTGTTTGCTTGCTGGTGGGGTTGTGGGGGTTAATTTGATTCAATTAAACGAGCGTGCGTAAAACCCTTTGACAGCTCTTAAAGCAAACAGCCCACAAGCCGAGTTGCCGAGAGGCCGACAAGCAGCGGCTCTCCACTCCTCTCTGGCTTGTTTGAGGGCTGAGTCAAAAGCTAAAAGTTGCACACAGCTTGCCGCATCACGTTGCATGGATAGAGTCAGTCAGTTAGTCTGTCCGTCCCCATCGTCGTCCAGCCAGCATTCATTGTCTTGTCGGGCGCGTTCTCAACTTCCGTTGCTGCCCCACAGAGGCCGAGGCGACTCTGCACTTTGACACATGAGGCTAATTGTTTGTGTGGAGCACGCGTGCTGCTGGGCAAATTATAAAGTGTCGCAGTGGCAACAGCAACAACATATATCTCCCGACACTCCCCACGTGTGTTGATACCCCCTCCCGCCCAGCTTCCAGCTTCACTTCTCGCCCAACACTGGCGTTAAACCGGAAATCCGGTCTGTTTGTTTGAGAGTTTTGTTTTCTTTAGCATCAACTTTTACTGCCTGAGCATAAACTTTCTTGCTTTCGAGTGCGGCTTCAACTTCAGCTTGTTGTTGCTGCTGCTGCTGTTGCTGTTGTTTATCTGTTTCAGCAGATTTCTAGATGTCGGCGATGAGCACATGCCATTGGAATTTGTTTGTCCAATTCTATGAGCCTGCACAAAGCACATATACATATATACATATGTATGCCCATCGATATGCAAAACATAAAGGCTTATGTATATGTGTAACGGTATCGCTGAAGTGCCACTTCCACACACCACACAACTACCCCACTTACAAATAAATATTTAAAAAAAACACAGCTCTACAATTGGGGGGGCGCTGTCAATAAACATGCTCGAATTTCAAAGAATTTCCCACGCTGCTTACAGGCGGGCACTGCTAACATATATATACTCATTCAGGAGACTCCTTACATAATAAGCATATCCTGCCGCAGCACGACAAAGGTTTCCCTCAAGAGAGTGGCCCAGCCCCGCCGGTATTCCTCTAAGATAAAAAGAAGAAGAGGCATCCTCATAATGCGAGGGCGCGAATATATGCACTGAAAAGCAATCTTTTTTGAGGAATTCAAGGAGGCAAGAGCGTAAAATTGTCAACAAAGGGTTAAGGTTAGACACAGCACAGGAACTACTCGCAGCTGGCTGAGATTGGGGCAGGTGTTGCGAACCCCGCCCGCTCAATAAAGTAGGTCAAAAACGCGTGGGAAAAGAGAGGATGTTCAGCAAAATGCGGAAGTAAATAAAACTAATAAAATAAGAAAACAACAAGGAAACCGAAGCAAACTACTTCCGCAATAGAAAGAGAAGGCAAAAGAGAGAGAGCGAGAGAGAGGAAGGAAGAGGTAGAGTGAGAGATAAGTAGAGTGAGAGATTGTTGCAGCAATTGAGCTGAAGGTAAAAGGTCATGACAGGCAACCTGTTTGGCTTTGGTTTTTGGCTTTGCCTTACTTCCGGTCCTGCCCAGCGCACTGCTAATCCCTTTTTAAGATACACAAGTGTGCGTGTGCAATTGTATTTGTGTGTATGTGTATGTACTGCACTTATATATTTATTTACTTCCGCCAGGCGGTCGCCTGCACTAAATCACTTCCGGACTTCCGGTTCGTCACGGACGCCCTAAGTAGATGACGAAGCAGAGAGAAAGAGAGCGAGAGCGAGAGAGCAATGGGGAGGGTAAAAGGACGCTCAGGTAGCTGGTTGGCCCTGGAGGCAGGTGCGACAACGCTTGGAAACGAGCCTATTGATTTCATTATAAAAATAATTTGAATGCAAATCAGAAAGGAATAGGAGAAAAAAAACACACAACAAACAAAATCAAATTGAAATCGAAACCAAACAAAAGATCAACAGAAAAAAAGGACCCAAAAACGGCGACAACAACAACAACAAGAGCAAGGGGCAGAGGCAGAGGCAGAGGGAAATGTGGAAAGGTACGAGTTGAAAGAAGTTCCACTTAAAAAATTGATTGCTTTCGATAATTTCATTGGAAACCTGTTGTTGGTGTTATCGTTACTGCTGTTGTTGTTCTTGTTGCTGTTGTTGTTGCTCATATGTTGTCGCCAGAGTGCCATACAATAAAATTAAATGAAAGGGACGAATGACAGGAGCGTAGATGGAGTAAGAGGAGCAGAGGAGTAGAGGGAACAGGAGGGGACACAGCACATCATAAAAGCGACGGCAAATCGAGTGAGAAAACAAAACAACAAAATACAAAACTAAATTCCGCAGTTGCTAGTTGGATTTTATGTTTATAGCGGGAACAGGATCAACAACAACAGCTACACCGGGGATAGTATCATAAGCTTTTATGCACTGAATAAAAAAGGATTAAGTAAACAAGGTGTAAGGACGAACTGTTTGTTCGGACTGTCGCTTAAGCAGACAACATATGTTTGACAACAGCGTTAGGAATTCAATTAATGAAAAGTATATGCTTAGGATGTTTATAGAATGGACTCTCTCCTCAGTGGAACCCCAAACAAACACACAGATATACACACATATATGAAGATGACATGGTATAGTCGAAACTGTCACATACACATGTTAATCCTGTTGAACTTGGGAGTAGATATTTACCCAACAGATCTGTGTCTGTTGGCTAAACAAAAAGGGGTTTACCCGGTTCGAGAGTCAAGTTCATTTTGGTCAGATAAAAATCGTTGTCAAATAGAACTACATAACTGAGACATCGGACATTGATTTAACAGATTGAGTTAAGTGAAAAGTAAGCTATGTAAATTTTCTACCATAAAAAAAAAAGAAAAGTTCGCTTTCCACTGGTTGACACATAAATTTAGAGGAGTATCTTGAGGTTGGGAGGAACTTACCAACTTCTTCAACATTCTTACACGTTTTGCCTTTATCTGTGCCTTGGGTCTGCCTTTCACTAGACTCTCGACTCTTTCGGATTGAATGCTAATGCTTTGAATAGTCTACGAAAAGGCACTTCAAACTTACCAGCAACTGAATGCCTGCTCTTAACTGTTTCCTCTTGGCCCCAGCTTGGCAAGGCTATGAATGAAATTATTTCAATGACTCGTAAAGATTCGAGGACGTGCTGCCACTTGGCTATGTAAATGTTGCCCATAGACGCTCATTGACAGTGTGTTGCACGAAAAAAAAAACGGAATTCAAGTTTCGATTGTCAAATTGTTAAGTTTTTCACATTTCCTTTTGCATTGCTTGCAGGACTCTGAGGATGATTTGCCCGTGTGTGCTCAGAATGCTGTGTGCTCCAAGATCGACCTGTACGAGACGCCCTGGATAGAGCGACAGTGTCGCTGCCCCGAATCGAATCGTATGCCCAACTCTATTATAGTGCATCACCATGACCATGGAGGACATGGAACTGCACATGGCCCGGGCGAGAAGTATCGCAGCTACTTCGAGAAGGAGAAATTGCTGCAACACAAGCGACTCCTGCTCGGCGAGTTCCAGGACAAGAAGTTCGAGAGTCTGCATCTGAAGAAGCTGATGCAGAAACTGGGCGCCGTCTACGAGGATGATTTGCAGCTGCAGTCGAGCGATTATTTGGAACGCTCCCCAGCCTACAATGAAGCTCTGCCGCAAGCCTATGAAGAACTGGCGGACAATGAGTTGCCACACGCACCGTTACCATCACGAATTTCGACGCACATGCGTCACTCAGGACACCGTGGCCAGAAGGAAGCGGCCAGCTTTATTGGCGGCTGTCCGAGTAGTTTGGGCGTTGGGGATGGACATACAATAGCGGACAAGACCAGGCACTACAAGCTGTGCCAGCCGGTGCATAAGCTGCCAGTTTGCAAGTAAGTTAAGCATACTGAGGAAATATTTATCACGAGCTAACTTTTTGCTTAAATTTTGTTTTAGGCATTTCCGTGATTATACCTGGACATTGACCACCGCCGCGGAGCTAAATGTCACCGAACAGATTGTGCATTGTCGCTGTCCCAAGAACTCGGTGACGTATCTAACGAAACGTGAACCTGTGCCTAATAGCAACACAGCCTATCGCTATCTCTTCGCCTGCTCACCGCTGACGGTAAGCAAAGCTTAAACCACAAAGCCAAGCCCAACAATCTAGCTAATCTTTTATAACTATTAATCCTGTAGCGCCTGCGCTGCCAGCGCAAGCAGCCATGCAAGCTGTTTACGGTAAGAAAGCGTCAGGAGTTCCTGGATGAGGTCAACATTAACTCGCTATGCCAGTGCCCCAAAGGACATCGTTGTCCTAGTCATCACACACAGTCCGGTGTTATAGCGGGCGAGAGTTTTCTGGAGGATAATATAAATACTTACTCGGGCTATTGCATGGCCAACGATTAAATCTAAGCACAAGAAATTCTATATATATATGGGCTATACATGTAGGTTTATCTAGGACTATGCATATAAGTCGACTGAGCCAATTGAGTCTCGCCAAGTTAACAATTAAACTGAAAGGAACAAAACTAAAAATTAAACACTACAACTACTGTATGTAATATGTGTGTGTGTCTGTTGTGCAGAGGTTTTCTTGTTTTTTTTCTTATGTAGTTGCTGCCAAAATTTGGTCATATATCATAATATAAACCATATATATAAATAATATAACCTACATATACATAAATATATATACAAATATAAATATTTAATTAGTTCTAAGGCGCAGTTTGTTATACAAATAATTTGTAATGAATATTTATGAAGAAGCGTTCTTGAATCTGTAACATAGCACACTATACTTTTAAAACCCCCTCCCCACTCACCATCCCCTTCCCTCTCCCTATCGTATTAATTGTATATATTATGCGCAGTTTCTTTTTTATAATGTAAACATAAAATACAGCAACTTCAAAGCATTAAACTTAATTCCATCTTCATAAATCCGTGCGTGCCAAATTAGTATGCATATTTATAAACATAACGAAATATAGCAACAAGTTGTATGAAGAATGGTTTGAAAAACGAAAAACGCAACACTTAAAAAGAATCCGAGAAAATGTTTGCTTTAATATTTTTACAAAAATATATATATATCTATATATATCTTTAGTCTTAAACATAACTTTATAACGAGCTTTTAATGTTTAGTTACTAATTGTAAAATTCTTCCCAATTGTAAAATTCTCTTTAGTCCCATTGGATTTTCCCCAAACACATCTGCTATCCAAGTATTAGGCATGATATTTTGGAGTATGCTTATCCATTATTTTATATATATTTTGTATAAAGGCCAAAATGAGCAAAAATAAATTTTAAATTATGTATATGGAAGCAATTATTTCATCTATACTTAAAACAAGTTTTTGATTTCTTAATGCAATGATAAATGGGTTTTGCGGTTGGTAATTGAACTTGACGGAAAGAATTTTCATTTCAGGAATAACAAATAAACAATTACTGCATCCCAATTGACATTTATTTAGCCTTGATCAGACTAAATGATATGAATCGGCTTCGTTTTCAGATGAGAAAGTTCTCTTCTTCTGCTCCACCTTATTTTAAAAGTGCAGCCTGAAAGAATGCTATGAAAATTTAACATTCAGGCAACTGTTGCTTAGACCTGGTTGCAAACTCAGCTATGTAGTGAGTACAGAAACCCAAACGTGCTACTTCAGTACATTTTGCGGATTTGCATAAAAGAAAAGAAAACTAATGTGAATAAAAGCAATGGAGCCACACTTCTTCTGAGCACAACAATTCATTCATGGCATTAGTAATACGTTGGGTAGTCAAGCAAAAAGTCGACTACTTCCTGGCTGCATAACAAAAAAACAATTAAGATTATGGAACTGTGAAGATACACAGCAGATGAAAAATGCAAATTATTATTAAAAACCGAACGGGGGCAACGAGAGGCGAGCGAAATAGCTGGGCTAGAAAGCCAGTCGAAGATGTAATCAGTGAGCGGGCAAGATAATTAATAAATGGTGCAGCAAATGGGCTGTAGACTGGAGCTGGAGACTGAAGACTAGCTGGGAGTAGTAGCTTTGGATTGGGCAGAGCCGGCGGTTACCTGCCGCAAATTCAATTAACGAGTGACGCTGCCAAGAAATGAAAACATAAAAAAAAGTAAGCAAGCGAAAGAAATACAGCAAAAAATTATCAAGAAACAAGCATATAAAAAAAAGTTTCAAGTGTAAAGAAAGGAGGTGTAAAACCAGCGTGGCGAAAATACACCAAAAAAAAAAAAAACAAAAAAAAACAAACGTAAAAAGGTAAATCGTAAAAGCCCAACAACCAAACATCAGCAACAATAACAACAACAACAACAACAACAACCACAACAAGTGCTAACATAGACGAAAGAGGAGCAGTTTTTGTTTTTTACGACACCAACCGGAAGCTGAGCGCGTTAAAAACTTGACTCCACACAACAGCAACACCAACACCAACAACAACAACACGCCCAGAAGAACTGTTAGTGGACATTTGAGATCTTAGATTCAGCCGGTGGACCGAGAGCACGACTTTGGGGCTTGGCAATTACAGTGTTGGCACCAATGCATACATGGTCTTTAGAATGCATAAAAGCGGAATTATTAATAATAATAAAATCGCACACTGAATATATACATTTAATGACCCCCTAAAGTGCGTCTAATTGGGCGACGTGCCAGCACCGCGAAGAAAATACCGTAAAAGATTCTTTCAACCAAAATACAGAGAGCCCTCCTCCTCTTTCGCCTACTCCTCAACCTTGCCATCTTTCCACTTTTCCTCGTTCTGCTCGTTGTTCTCAAGCCAGACAGAATGGGCACAGCGCCAAGACAGTTCATAGCATTACGATGGTTTAGAGACATTCTCTCTGCTAAAAACGGGAAGGAGGGATGGAATCGGGGGCACCTCTTCACCTTCGCCACCGCAGATGAGGCGTTAATTAGAGTTTAAGCCGCAAAAACAGGCAACACAGACTTCTATTATTTTTTTTGTTTTGGTTTTTTTGTTTGTTTATTAGTTGGGAATGAATTTCGCGCAAATGCCAGATTGCAGCACTAACAAGAAAATAAGGCAAAAATTCTTGTAAATTGTTGTTGGTGTTATTTTGCCTTGTTTGCTCAGTTGTCCCTCGTGCTTAAATTGGGTTAAGTCAGAGAGACCACGTTGACAATTGCAGACACGAAAAGATTTTTAACAAATTGGTCAAAAGCTGTAAAAGCTTAAGTGGTAATTACAAAGAAAATTTGATAATGGTATGTTATAGATAACAGCTAACTGAAAGTGACTTGAAAATTAAATTCATTGGAGACCACATCTTTAAAAAAGATGATAGCTTTGACTGTTGTCAAAAATGTTAAGAATGTTTCTTTCAATCCTACTTAGATTAGCAGATGCATGTTTCCATTGCCATAACCTGCGAACTCTCCAACTACTGCATACATTTCAATGTTTGTGTTTGATCTATAAAGTCTTTTCCCAGGCTCTATAACAATTATTATGATTAGTTAATGACCAGTTGAGCAGTGAGCTTAACATGTATTAACATAATATTAAAAAGAATTGTAATAAATCTTGTCTCAACAAGTTTACGAGTTCTGAAAAAACTTTCTTAGTAATTTCAGTGAAATTAGCCCTGTATGCTATTAGCTGCTAAAAACCGTTCGAGTTGCATGCTCAGTTTAGATCACTTCGTGTTATGGTAATATACAGGTCCTTAAGCTGCATGTGGCATTTATGAGCTCAGATTTTTTTTTTAGCAACCTCCTCAACTGCTCTGCTAAAGTCGAAGAGTTCAATTTCCCACCCGCTGTTTTTTGGGTGCCGGCTGACAGCAAACTGCCATTCATTATAACTTGTGGCGAAAGTTTTCATCTTTTAGCCAAATCACTTTTGTCTCAGCAGCTTCTGTTGCACATTTTGTTCAGCAACAACAACAACAACAACAACATATGATGGCTAATTATTTATCTTGTTTTTTATGGCTTGCCTTTTTGTGGTAGTTTGGTAGTTGGTGTGCTGAGGTGTTCGCGCTTCCATAAGTATTTCTAACACATGTCGACTCCCCCAATAATCTATGACATTGACTACCGTAAAGCATCTAGCACATTGATTGATTAGCTGTTCTATGGCCACGGGGTAGAGATTTGCATTTAATATGGATAGATATACCGAATTCGACACATTTTCGATAGAGCATCGACAATAGATGTAAGTGGGCAAAGTTTGGGGCGGTATCATTAGAAACTCCAGGGCATAACTTTCTTTCACATCATTAAAGAAAAAATACATAAAAAAACACCTAAATAGATAAAGAAACAAAAACAAATTAGACAAGAAGCAACATGACAAAAGACCAGCTAATAGTATCCGCTTTATAGAATTGACGCTCGGACGGCTCCGATGGTCATCTTTAAGTTGCATGTCGTAGTTTCGATGTTCTACGTAAATTTCTTCATTTCGTTGGCCAACTTTACTCGGCTAATTAGCCACGATTTGAGGCGATGGCATGCAATGTGAATTAAACAAAACAACAACAATAACAACAAGAATAACAACAACAACAACAAATCAACTACAAATTAAGGTGCCCCACAGGTTGAGGCGCTTATGAATTTAATTGCTCAACATTACGACGGTGGCCTTATCAATTTTCCCGGCCCTCTCGTCAGACATAATTATTCTTAATATTTTTACTTAAGTTCAAAAGTTTTTCAACTACTTCTTCAGCATCTGTGGCTGCTACTTGGTATTTGGTATTTACATTCATCTGCGCTGCGCCTCTTCCTCTGGCAACAGGAAGCTGAGAGAGATTTCACCTGTTTTGCTGCCAACTCTTTTTTTATTTTTGGTTTATAACTTTTTTGCCTTAGAAAGTGAAATTTAACGGCGCTTGTAATTTGCCTCCCCGCGGGTTTGGGAGCTGCTGAGCTGTGAGCTGGTGTGCTGAGAGCTGCGATGTGCGATGTGCTCAGTGCCCAGTGATAAGCCATTAATCAATGCTATTAGAGGGCCACGAATAAATAAATAAATGTTTGAATGCTTTGGGTTTTGTTGTTGATTATTGATTCATAAATTGATAAACAGTCGCACTAAAATATCGCAAAGTGCTGAGGCGTAATAGCTTTTTAATGCCAACCAACTGGAGCAAGGGCGAGTGAAAGTGCTGAAATCTTAAATCCAAATCTCAAAACGGAGGCTGCATTTTACAGTATCATAATATGCAAAAATTGGTATTGAAAAACTTAATGGATTTCAGAGTCATGCAATGCGATAACGAATCTGTTGATTGCACTCTATTGCAATAAAGTGCAACAACAATAAGACAAAAGCGACAAAAATAATTATTCGCGTGCATGGAAATGCCAAAAGTGGAAATACCCTAGGTTATATATTCAAAATGAACTAATCTTTATAGTCAAGCAGATCCCTTAAACTAACGTTTAATGTTTGAACGATGTTTAATGGAGCAGCTGATTATATGAATTAGCATGCAAGTACAGTAGGCAAATAGTCCATTTCACAAAGGTTGGTCAAGCCAACTTCACATTTAATGCCGATTAAGCTTTAACAATTTTGTTGCTTAGCATTTTATCTTCATAATAACCTCGATATGCACCTTTGTGAGTGCAGGGTATAATAATAGTAATCGTATAGTGCAATGCCGAGTCAT